CTGGGTGAGGTGTTCTGGGCATGTCCCACCAGGAGGAGACCCCAGGGCAGACCCAGGACACGCTGAAGAGATTATATCGCTCGGCTGGCCTGGGAACGCCTTGGTGTTCCCAGGCCAAGCAGGAGGAGGTGGCTGGGGAGAGAAAGGTCTGGGCTTCTCTGCTTGCCGCGACACAGCCCTGGATAAGAGGAAGAAGATGGATGGATAGATGGATGAGACTTATATAATTATTTTGTGAAATCCATTTGCAATCTAATGTTTATAATGGGATTATTAATTCATTTTGAAATACTCACAAAATAAAATAGTGTTTTACATTCAAACTACTTCAGTAGAACTTAAATAAATAAAATAATTAAAAATTAATTCATAAAATAAATTTACTCATGCATATTTTATTGAACAATTTATTATCAAAGCACAAAATTCTTTATTTTGATGCGCATGACTCTTCTGCTCCTCCATACTTTACAGAATCCCTACAAACAGAAGAGATTGCTTTTACCTTGATTAATTTTATTTGATGTCTAATTTTAGATTTAAAAGCACAAGCACTGTTCGCTTTGCTTATCTTAACATATCACTGTGTGAAAACAATTACAAAACCACTAACAACTATAGCTCTATGATTAATGAAGCTTTATGGTGAACGTGAACTTAATGTCTAGTTGTCTGGCCTCAAAGTGCACTGCTTTTTACTTTGGTGGGTTTCATAGTATTACTTGTAGAGAGAGCAGGCATAAGTTTTACAGAGAAATGTCTACAAGACTGCTGCTGTGCTCAGTAGCAAAGCAGGAGACATGCGCAGCAAGAGACTGAAAGGTGAACCTTGCTGAACGTTTTGCAGCTCAGTGTGGATGCTTTAACAGGCAACAGTTTGTAAAATGTTTGCTGCATCAGTTGTATGTGTCAGCTTAGTGTCCAAGGACTGTTTCTGCTGCCCCCAGGTTGTCAAACAAAATCTATCAGTTGAGAAAACAACTGTTGGGTTTGAAAATGAAGCCAGTGCAGAAATACTGCATTCTTTCACTGAATGCGTAGTTAAGGTTTGTCCGTATCTCGCTAACCAAAATTAGCACTTTATTTAACAAGACACTGAATTACACATGCTCCTTGCTAACAATGACAGAGAGCACCAGCATTCATGGATACCTCCAAGATGATCAAGACCAAACTGCCTGAGATTTCAGAACAGCAGCCCACAAAGCAACTTCACTTATGCTTGGTACTTGGGTAAGGTTGCCGGTGAAAAATATCCATGCACATGAACATGAACATTCGCCGTATGCGGTAAACCTAATGTGCAGGAGACACTTAAAAATCATTCACAAGATCTTTTTAAGAGCTATTCCAGACCGCATTGTAATAGAGATCTCAATGAATAATTAGAAAGACAAACACAATCTCACAGTGTGCTATTTTTCATTTCCCTGCTCCTCAGATTAAGCTGAAAGGCATTTGTTTTTGATGCTGGAGTTTAAGACCCATCTTTGCTTATTGGTAGTGGCTGATATTCAGCTTGCAATTAGATGAATATGACTTTACCCATGCCACGTGACCTTTGGCTGCACAGTTACATCATCATGGCTGACATTCAACGGGCCCTTCATCCCTCCCTAACATCCAGCATCGAGCTCTTGAAAGTTATCAGTGGATGTCAGACATTCTTTGGGAAGTGGTAGAAACTCAGAGCAAGTTTTGTTTTTCTGCCCTAACACAATCACATTCCTCTGAGCTACTTAAAACACTAAGGCAGCTGGAGAGCCAGTTTCCCTTTTTAGATTATGTTGTGGCCTGTAGATTATTTTGCTGGCCTTTTCACAGAGTTCCCATCAACAGGGTTGCCCCCATCTATGGTTTCTGCATCTTTTTTCTACAGTCTCCCTACTGGCTTTTTTAAAGTCCAGCTCTTTTATCATATGAAGTTAAAAACAACCAACAGTTATCAAATAACTTGGTGTAACTTCCAGGCAACAGGAAGATGGAAATATGAGAAGGACTAGAGGGAGAGGAGACACAAAGAGGAAAAAATAGTGAATGCTTCTCTTCTTTCTCTGGGGACCAGCCTCTTTTAGCTCACATCTACAACGGCAGGAAACCATGCAGCATTGTGTGAGATGAGGCAACACACCAAATTGTGTGTGTGTGTGTGTGTGTGTGTGTGTGTGTGTGTGTGTGTGTGTGTGTGTGTGTGTGTGTGTGTGTGTGTAAAATACAATCAGTTAAGCGACGGGATATAAGGAGGAATAAATGGATAGACACAGCTGCCGTTATTCCTCCAAATACCAAGCAGTGGAACAACAGCCTGACACATATACTGTGACACCTTTAGATTTATATGACAACCTGTGCAGGATGTTCACTGAGTACATGTGTGGGTGTATGATACACAGGAAGATCACATAATGGTCATGGTGAGAACTGTAGAAGAAAATATAAACAAGAGGCAGTTTTCGGGGAACTAGGTTTCCCTAGCATTTCCCATTTAAAGTAAATGTTGCTTTTCGAGGTTAATTTTAATCGACATTTTTGTGTTATTCCTTTGAAACTGTTTCCTAGTTTATCTCATTATATTCTGAATCATATAAAAATCTCTGAGACATACAGTGGGGCAAAAAAGTATTTAGTCAGCCACCGATTCTGCAAGTTCCACCACTTAAAATGATGACAGAGGTCAGTAATTTGCACCAGAGGTACACTTCAACTGTGAGAGACAGAATGTGAAATAAAATCCATGAATCCACATGGTAGGATTTGTAAAGAATTTATTCGTAAATCAGGGTGGAAAATAAGTATTTGGTCAATAACAAAAATACAACTCAAT